GAGGAATTATACCTTGTGAGCTATTTGAATCTTCAGGGAAGCTGCATAGGTTCATAAGTGAAGCTTCGGGCAACACATAAGGTGTTTTTACCTTAATGTTCTATTTACTGTTTTAAGCTGTTGTTATGCTTGTTTATATTTGTATTATCTTGCGGCATCGAACTGTTGCTGGTTTGTAAGCCGCCCTGTGTCCCCCCTCTGGGGTTGAGAAGGGCGGGATGGAAATGTTGGAAATAAATAAATAAATAAATAAATAAATGCTCTTTTTCCTTTTTACCTTAATTCTGTTTTGTGGGGCACAGAGCAAAATAATCATATATTAGAAATTATTTTTTAAAATATTTCTGCGTCTTTCGGGACCCCCTTGAAAAGCATTTATCTGCAGAAAGGCCAGCAATGTTTGACAGCAGGATCTTAAAGTGAAAAAAAAACCCCAACCATTATTATCTTGAGGCACTAAATGCAAAAATATGAAAGCCTTTTCTTTAGTGTAGTTCAGTCTGCAGATATTTTACTGTTAACAACTGTATCAGCCCAGACTTTTATCAGATGATTGATTATTAAACATTTCATCCATTTTTAAAGACATAATTGCAAGATGAGTGGGGCGCGCTCTTGAAAAGAGTAAATAGATGTGCAACATTTTAATCTCTAGAAAGAATTAAATAGATATCAAGTACATTGATTCGTCCTGGCGTGCTCTAGTGATCTGGAAAAGGCCATGATGTAACAATGAATCACCAGATACCATGCATTTACAAAGGTTATTCACTGAGGTTTTCCTTGAGAAAGTTCTTTGTCCTTTCTGAAGGAGTTTATCAGGTTCATTGGGAATATCATTAGGAGGCTACTTATTCCTGTGTGACAGCATTGCATGTTGGACATTAGCAAAGGATTGCTGAGAGCCATAAAATGAATCCATCACTGGTTTTGTCACCTTCAGTGCATTAGGCAAACTCTTAACATTCGCTTTAAAACAGAGGTGTGCTCATGGGAATTACAGCTCTAAAGTGTAAAGTTGGAAGAAAGCATATGTCTGTTTCAGAGTTGACCCAAAATGTTAATCAGCGCCTGTCTCGGTTAGCAGAAAAATGGTTAAGGTCTGCGTAAAACCTGGGAGTGCCAAGCCTCAGGAGGCTGGCTGACGTGTCCAGGAGCTTGTGTGCTTCCTTGAATCTCCAGGAGATGAGACAAATTACAGAGTGAGCAATGCTCGAGAAAGTTTAATTTTATTATATGAGATGGTTTTAAAGACTAGATATCAATTTCCTTTTCTTAATACAAATTAGTAGCTGCAATACAGGATAAAATAAGCCATTTTGCAAATGATGCTTAATGACTTTCAGGCCCCAACTTTTAAAAGATGATTATATATCTGAGTCACAGTTCGGAGCACAATGAAATCAGTTTGGATCCATTAGCAGAACTAATAGTAACTGTCGTCTATGTTGGAGGAGGTCCTCAGGACGTATAAACTCCATAATCTTTGTTTAGGAAATAGCATCAAATGCAGATATAAAAATAAAAAAATAAAACTTTATTTATATCCCATCACCATCTCCTAGAAGGGACTTGGAGTGACTTACAAAAGCACTTAGTAGTGCGGCAAAATACAGTAAAATGCATGAACATATATCAAGTTTTAACATTTGAAGTTCTAATCATGTTTGAAGGCCTGTTTGAAGAGCCATGTTTCCAATTTTTTCCAAAAACACTGAAGTGTGGGGGCTAGCCTGATTTCTCTAGGGAGGGCATTCCAAACCAGGGGGCCACCACTGTTCCCACTTTTTCCCACCAGCCGCACTTGAAATGGTGATGGGACCAAGAGGAGGGCCTTCCTGGGAGATCTTAGAGCCCTTGCTGATTCATAGGAGGAGATATGGTCTCGAAGATGGGTTAGACCCAAACCATGTAGGGCTTTGTAGGTAATAACCTGCACTTTGAATTAGGCCCGGAAACTTGTCGGCAGCCAGTGGAGCTGCTTTAATAGGGGCGTGGTATGCTCCCTATAGCTAGTAATCTGGCTGCTGACCTTTGTACTAAACTGCAGTTTCTGAGCGGTCTTCAAAGGCAGACCCACGTAGAGTACATTACAAATAATCTATTCTAGGTGTAACAAAGGTGTGGATCACCATGGCCAAGTCAGGCTTTTTGAGGTACGGTCACAGCTGACATACAAGTTTTAACTCCGCAAAGGCCCTTCTGGCCACCGCAGACACCTGGGTGACACCAAGTGTCAGCACTGAGTCCAGGAGGATCCCCAGACTGCAGATCTGTGTCCTTGGGGGAGTGTAACCCTGTCGAGCCCAGGTTGCCACTCTATATCCCAATCAGCCTTGGAATTGGCCAGGAGGTCCTCTGTCTTATCTGGATTAAGCCTCAGCTTGTTGACCCTCATCCAGTCCATTACAACTTGTTGGTCCTCATCCAGTCCATCACAGATTGTCCTGCTCACTCTTTAATGCATGTGTACATGCACATACACATTATGTTAACATTGCTACAGGACACCACTCTTTGTTACTTCACAGGGTTTTGACCAATCCCATGTTTTGGTTAGGGGAAGGAACTCCGCTGACCTGGCAACAACTTCCCATAGCACATGCTGAATCAATTGAAAGCCCTTTCATTCCATTATTTACATTGTATGGCCATTCTACATTTTGCTCTTCCAAATTTTGTTAAATATGAAGAGGTCTTGGTTTGGCAGATGTCTCTATAAAGCTGAGACACATTCCAAATAGCTTTCTAAAACAAAAATTGCAACCAACTCATCTTCTACCTAACCTTAGTCTTTTATATTCCACAAAGAAGGAAAGAACTAAGTAATCTACCTTTGCTGAATATAGCAAGACAAGGAACTTTAAAATGAAAGCAGCAGCAGCTGGTGAGGAAGGAAACTTTAACCTTTCCTCCCTGGTGATCCTGAGAAAAATCCCTTCTCTGAAGCTGGCATTTACTTTCACTAGGATGTATCCCATTGGTGCCAGGGTAGGATTTCATTTCAATGCAAATACCAAATGAGAGGTTTTTCTCAGGGCTGCAGGAGTGAAAGAAAGAATATCTATGTCCACATCCAATACAAATGTAATAATGTCTCCAGTCAGCCAAGAATATTTTAAAACTTCTACTTGTTAAAAGGGAAAGTCGCACGTAACATTGTGGTGTAAATGAGGTTGCTGATCAATTAGGGTGAAACCACTTCATCAATTGCTGAGTAGTTGATGAACACTGACGAAAGAAGCATAGATTCAGTGGGTCTCTTGAAGCTGGAAATAGCAGTTAGATTTAGGTCTATGTCTGCTTTGGCTCTCAAGCCCTCCCTTTTCTCAAAAGCTTATAGTGTTGTGTTTGAGAATGGGACATATCTCAGCAGTTATTTTGACCATTATATGAGAGATAACTCTTAACAAGATGTTATGTGGTAGGTATTCCCATTCAAAATAATTGACTTTTAAAAATCTTTCCAATTATTCAAAAGTTTGAAAATTGATTTATTCTTATTTGTTTTGGGGCTCCAATTCACCTAACAGTCTTGGAACAAGGGTGGAAAACTATCCTCTCTTTCATTACCCTCTGGTGGCGCAGTGGGTTAAAGCACTGAGCTACTGAGCTTGTTGACTGAAAGGTCACAGGTTCGAATCCAGGGAGCAGCATGAGCTTCCACTGAGAGCCCCAGCTTCTGCCAACCTAGCAGTTCAAAAACATGCACATGTGAGTAGATCAATAGGTACTACTCCAGCCGGAAGGTAACGGTGCTCCATGCAGTCATGCTGGCCACATGACCTTGGAAGTGTCTACGGACAACACTGACTCTTTGGTTTAGAAATGGAGATGAGCACCACACCCCAGAGTTGGACACGACTGGACTTCATGTCAGGGGAAAACCTTTACCTATATATATATATATATATATATATATATATATATGCACACACACACACACACACACACACAACATCAGGGAGCTAGTCTCAATGACATGGGACAGGAGTCCCATGGAAATCCCAAGGAGGCCATCACATGACGTAAGGGCACTTTTGGTGGGTTTCTGTGGAGCTCTGTTTCCACAGCGCATGGAAACAGAGCCAAAAGTCCATCTTCAGGAATCGGGTTTAAACCAAATGGCTTAAAGTGGGAAAAGATGGGCAGAAGATGGGGAAAGGATGTGGTGTGGCTGGCCATCCAATAAGATGGGGAAAGATGGTAGGGAATGAAGATGATTCCCTTTGCTTTCCCCCACTTTCTCCCCACTCATGAGATGAAGTCCTAAGAGAGTTTCCCTTTACACATTCACTGGTGTTTTTAGACCGGCAGTCAATACATTCCACTTTTGTTGCTGTTAACTGTTTGTAGGTATTGCTCTTTTTATGTCTTTTTCTATAGGGATTTAATTTACAGTTTTTATTGTATAAGGATTTTTTTTGCTTTGAATTAACTGTGGGGTCCTTGTAGGGACTAAAAGTGATATGTATATGTTTCAGTAGATGGATAAACAGCTCTGATAAACATTGTACTTCTGAAAATAATTGCTGGAATATGTCAGCAAACCTGTATAGATTGTAAAGTACACATCTAAGGAGGAACACTGAACTATTATTTTTCACACCTTTCAAATTGCTTGAAAGAGAAGGGGAAAAGGCAGAGGGATTAGAGGTAAAGTACGTTATAAAGAATATCCAAAAACAGAGTAAGTCTGTTGACAAGCCTAAGAAAATTAGGTAGAAATCTATCCCCGATATGTTGAAACTGTAAAAGGCGGAAGACTAGTTCATACTGTTGACAACATTCACTAGGGTTATCTCTGTAATTTCAAACTTTTTCTCGAGGTTTATTCATTCAGTTGACAGGAGTGTCCAGGGTGGATGGAAGGGAACCACATCATCATGACACAATGCACACTTCGTATATTTCAGCAAGAGATAACCTGGGTTGATACTGTCATTTTGCTGCTGGAACAATTTCTTCTGTGTCAGCCTCTTCTTCTCTTACTGTTGTAGGATCTCTAAAATAGGAAAGTCGTGATACAGAAGCTCATATGAACCTACATCCTGTGTTTAAATTGTATGAAAAGCAGGCACAGACCAGAAAAAGGTAAAAATTTAAGTCGTGCTCAATCTCAATTCCACTGCATTTAAATGTTCTTTGTATGCTTTTCACATTTAATTCATGGTATGATTATCTTAGACCATCTGATGTGGGGCCTTTAGTTTTTAAAGTGGGTGGCATATTTTAACATAAAGATGTCAAAGCTTTTTTCCAGCAAATATATTTGTACTGCACTAAGAGTGGGGGTCAGAGGTACAAATTGATGCATTGCATATACATTTCTATATTTTATACCATTTTGCTCAATTTGCACAATTTATTCCAAGTACAGTGTATGACATTTAGCTGAATATCTATGTTCTACTCCAAGAATATTAAATGTTTTTTTGTCATATATAGTTCTGTTACTTGGAAAATTATAGCCATAAGTATAGGGGTAGGTTTTTTACCGCAAAGAAAGTGCTGCTACAGTCCTTTACACGCATTCTTAAAATGTTTAAAATGTTTAAAATGGTATTGAATTTTTTTGAATAGGCCAATTTAACTGGGTTTTAAGGTTGAATTTAGTTTCCTATGTTAATCTACATTATAAGATGCCTCAGTCCTGAATTTGGGAAATATATATGATTGTACACAAAACTCCATTCTTTTGAGGAAGATGTATGCATACGTATCATCAAATTGTCTGCTGATTTATGGCAAATCCATTATTTTCATATATTTTTTCTTAGACAAGTTATATTCAGAGGTGGTTTTGCCAGTTAATTCCTTTGAAATATAGGCTGCCATGCTTGGAATTCATTGGCTGTGTCCTATCCAAAACCCTTCTTGAGTAAACATGGATATCAATTGATTGTGAGATGATAGTATAGATACTATACTAACTTACCTAGGAGCAAGCACCCACAAAACAATGAAACTTATGCTTGTTTAGATACATCCATGGTTGCTTTGTGAAACCTTTGAAATGTTATCATGTCTGTTTTGGAATAGATGTGCTTAGGATTTCTGCTCCTGCTCAAGATGTGTTCCAACCTGTTCCAGTTTCATGTCTAGGTATACCTATGTGGAATCATAAATATTTGAATATCCCTGTAAATAAGTAGAATATAAGTAGTATTGATATATATACTATAAGTAGTATTGCTATATAAGTAGTATTGCATAAGATGATTGCTATGTGACTGCTATATAAATGTTGCAGGATATTACCACTTAACCATGCGAAATATGTAAAAGGTTTACAAATATGTTAAAAATATTCTTCATTAGATACATATGCAAGGTAAGTCTGGCTGTGCAACATCACGGAGACATATATATGGATTGTAATGGTGTATATATTTGGACAATTCAAGTAGTGTGGTTTTGAATATGGTTTGTCTTGCCATTCTCTATGACATTCCTGTTCTATGTATTGAAGATACAGGGTCACACATTTGGATTTTTTGATTACCACCATAGAAGGCACACTTGCATATGAGCTCATTGGACATGGTTTCAGTTATACTTGAAGAGCTTGGAATACCATAAAATTGTATAGGAGGATTTGTTGATGTGTTCTTTCCTGGCCTTCAGTTTGATTTTATGGTCAGCTTCCAATGGGAATTCACATTGGACTTGAGAAAACACTTGGTAGATCCTACTATGTGATTCTGCTAGAAGTCCAATACATCATTAATTTCAGGTAGGAAAAATAAAGTTTCAGATTATACATGATTACAGATAAATTACATTACATTTGACCCTTGGTTGGTTAAAAAAGGTGTCTAATCATTAAAGAGATTAGACTAGCCCCTACTCTTCAAGTTTTCAGAACAAATCTGAAAACATGGCTCTTCAAATAGGCCTTTGACCATGTTTAGAACTCTACCTGTTATATTCGAGGAACTAATGATTTGTTTCACCCTTGCACATACTACTTGCACTTTATGAAACTGATTTTAATTACAGTTTTATTTTTATATCCGTAGCCACTGCAGCATTTTATTGATTCTTTTAAGTCAGTATGTTTTATACAATGTTTATATAATTTGTTTATATGGACTTTATTGTTATTTTGTGATTTTGTTTATGTGCCTTGTTGTATTTATATGTTTACACCATTGAGTGCTTTTGTGAGCTGCCCTGAGTCCCTTCAGGGAGATGGTGGTGGGACACAAATACATTATTATTATTATTATTATTATATGTTGAGGATATGGTTTTGATTTCTTTTTTTCATAGAAGTCTAAGGAGGCTGTTCTCTAATCACAATTTATTTTGTTCTAGACAAAAGTTAAACATCAATTAGGAATGGATCTATTGTGTAGTATGTGGGCATACTGTAAAAGAAAAAAAAGGAGCAACAATTCCTCTCTAGGAATTTTTTGCCTCCTCCAGGGTTTTTTATTTTGTGTCAAAAGGATTGCATGAATAAATTAGTCTAAAACTGACAAAATAAAGGGAGCACAAGCAGCTCAATAATTTTGACCAAAACCCAAAATCATCCAGGTTGATTCTATGGTAACTTCTGCTAGAATCGTTAATTTCAGTCGGGTTCACTTTCATTTATTTTATGGTAGCAAGTCACAACCATCACTTATATATAGTCACTATAGTCATCTTTTCAAAAAAGGGAAAGCAGGAAAATGTTAATGCACAATGAAAGGGGGGGGGGGTGTTAAAAGTTGTCTCCATGGACACTCCTCCCAGTGCCTTTGTTTCCATGATCCCTGAGAGCCACCAAATGTATTTTTATTGAACCAGCAACTGTGTATTCCCTGTTGTCCTTCCAGTGAAGACTAGGGAACTCCAGAACACTGCTGCTGTTGCCAGTGTTTTCATCTCTCTCCTCTTTCTTCACATGGCTACTGAAAAAAGAAAAGAAGAGGCAAGGCTGTCATTGTCATTGGCATCATAATATTTCCACCTCTCACATATACACACACTTTGTCAGGAAAATAGGTAGAAACTGATTGAGGTCAAGAGGAGATAAAATTTACTCTCCAACTGTCTGACTGTACTCACAACAGAATTAGCTCACTCTCCAACTGCCTGGCCATTCTCACAAATAGAAAGTTTTATGAAACACTGGTTCTTGCTGGAGATGAAAAATGCTAAAATAATCTATCTGTCTGACAGCATGGCTATTCTTACATTTGGATTCTTCTTGTGGGTTGTGCTATAGGGATTATTATGATGGGAGCTTATACTTTAAATCTGACCACTACATCACAGGCTGTGGCCATAAATCCCTGGTAATGGAGGCATGAGAATCTGCATCCCTCCATCTCTTCCAATATTATGAAAACAGGAATAACTCCTTTGTGTTTCAGGGCATCACCCACAGAGTGTATTCACTTCCCCAATATGCCAATGATGCCCAGACATTTTTATTACATTCTCATTCACGTCCGTTTCATCTTTGTTTGGTTATTTTTTCTTCATACATTCTCTTCCATATAGAAAAGCTTTCGAATCTCTGGGACTCCCAAGGCTGTTTCTCATCATCAACTTGCTAAACGACTCTGTTATCTAACCTGTCTATATTTATACAGTCACTTTCCCCCCTGAAAAACAAGCTTACATTTGTCTAATGCTCTCCCTGTACAGTGTTTCAGAAGCAGGAATAATCATTTTAAAAAGCATTGTGATAAACATTATGTTGCGTTAAACCTCTTGCTGTGCTCCAGTGATTGTTGTTTTGTCTGTCATTTAAGTTTTAAATAATGAAGGATAAGATGTCATGCAGGGATGAACATGTAATGCAATGTGGTTTCTAGACAAATAGAATGATAATATGATTAATTACATTGATGCAGCAATAACATTTTCAAATCCTGGCTTATTAGTGAAACATTAAATGAACAAGTGCAGTTCTTAGAATTACATCCCAATCCTGTGTATATTCATCCAGACATAATCACTACTGGTTTCAGGAGGACTTACATCTAGGTAAGCATACATAAGATTGTGTTGTTTTATGCGTCCTTCAGTAGAATGTCGATTTCTCAGTGGCGTATTCTGTATTTGCCATGGGGTAAGAGGGTGTAATCAATATGACTGGAGGCTATTCACAGGTGGAATACACTTGAAATATTTATTTAAATCACAGCAAGTAAACAGAGGATCAGGTCTGTGAGAAGGAGTCACAAAACAGTAGTAAAGTAAAAGAATTTCAGGCTGGTGCTCTTCCTCTGCTCTTGAATTTATAAAGGAAAAGAAAAGGTTCTGGGTAGACTTTCTTAAAACCCTGTTTGCCTCAGGTTCATCCTTAAGCATGCAGCAAATATTGGGGATACTTCTTTCTGTGAAGTGAGGTGAAGTAGTTGATGGATTGTAGCCTGTATGGTCACATTAATGGAAGATATTCTCTGGGAACCAGGCAGGGATGTGTTTCCTTGTGAGATCTGCAGGATACCTAGTGCCTTTTAATAGTATCATTCAAAGCATCCTAAAGCTGTGGACAAGATATTATTTAATTTATACCCAAATAACATACCAGCATTGTCTGACCTAGATTTTTTTTTCTGCCCTCAGTTGGTCAAAGAAGGTGTCTATTCTTTTATATGCTGATGACATGGCTTAAATTTCTTTTTCTCATATAGGTCTAAGGAGGGTGCTCTCTAAGCTTGGTTTATTTTGTTATAGAGACAAGCTAAACATCAATTATACCAAAATAAGGGTGATGGGTTTTGGAAAAAGGCACTCAGTTTCAATGGTCTATCAGTGGTCACCAGATTGAACAAGGTCAGGAACTTTAAATACCCGGGCATTCATTTTACAGAAAACATCTCCTGGAAGCCCCACATAGAAGCAACTAGAGCAGTGACTTTGAGGTCTATTGAAGCAATCTTTAGATTTTACAAAATTGCAAGGGCAGCCTAGTTATCCCAGCCCTGAAAATCTTCTTCTTCTTCTTCTTCTTCTTGTTGTTGTTATTATTATTAACTTTATTTGTACCCCGCTAACATCTCCCGAAGGACTCGGTGTGGCTTACAAAGGCCAAGGCCCTCTTGGAAAACAATCACTTCCCAGATTCTGTATGGTACTGCTGTCTGGGG